AACCCCTAAACCGCAAACCCTACGCCTCGGCGCATTTTTTGGCGCCATGCAGCAAGGCGGGTCCGGGCGACAGCTCCAGGAGCTTCAGGATGGCAACAGATCGTAGGCCGACCATGGGCACCCCCAAATAGCACGGTTTAGGGTTTAGGGTTTAAGATTTAGGATTTAGGGTTTAGGGTTTAGGATTTAGGGTTTAGGGTTTAGGGTTTAGGGTTTGGGATTTAGGATTTAGGGTCTAGGATTTAGGATTTATGGTTTAGGGTTTACTGTAGGATTTAGGATTTAGGGTTTAGGGTTTAGGGTTCAGGTCAGGTCATGGAATATCGAGTTGAGGAGACCCCGTAGAAGTTTTGACTCCTAGGGGCTCGTTTAAAGTGTTGATAAGCATGGGGTTTGAATTTATCATTGAAAAGAGCTTGCGCCCTTATCCCCAAACCCTAACCAATCCCAAAACCCTAACCCAAAAACCAGAAACCCCATCCATACTCACCAATTCCCCCGCAAACTCTCCAAAACAGCTTCTTGCGGGTTCGGAATATCGTGTAGGTCCCAGTTTTTGTCTTTGCAACCGAGGCAGGACGTCTTGGATCAGAGGGTCGTTGTCTTGCATGTGCATGATGTATTCCTTCACGGAATCCTGCACCACTCGAAACCATTTTTCGGTGTGCCAAGGACCCCAAGCAGCATCCATTGCAGCACTGCTCAGCAGCACAGCTCCGTACATGCCGGCTTCCTTCAACCCGTTCAGCCCCACGTTGTGGATCATGTGAAATGGATCCGGGAGCCAGACGTAGTGTGCCCGCAAGTGGTTCAAAATGAACATCATGCTGGACGTGTTGACTGATGAAGAGTCTTCCACGTGGACAAGATACCGAAATCCGGCAAGGCTTGCTGCTCCACTTGATTCTGCCGCCGGCATCTCCGATCTTTGTCGTTTTCGCTTCTGCTTCTTCACCAGGTCATGACTCTTGGCGGCTTCCTCTGCCTGCACATATGAACGACCCTCAGTTCCTAACTCAAGAATGTGTGAGACGCGAAGGCAGTAAGAAAGACACCAGATCAACCCGAAACGGGAGCCTCTCTCAAGGCCTCCAAACGATCTGCGGGCACGAATTGGCTGAGCCTCTACAGTAGCAATGCCCGGAACATAAACGTGGTTGACCAAAAAACGAAACGCATGGGATACTATTTGCAAACTGTAAACAATAAACAACAACACCTGAACCAAGAGCTTGAGACAAACCCTACGTCCGAAACGAGACAGAAGGGCGGGTCTAGGGCTAGGTGGGCCTAGACGTCAAACCCCAAAAGCTCATAGAACCCTCATAGAGATCCGTCTCAAAGCACTCTCTTACCGAAGCAACCCAACCCATCCCCATCCCCCACCCAACCCATCCCCTTCCCCCCCCCTCTCACACACAGCTTCATGCGCAGACTTCTGAACGCTAAACCCTAAACTTAAGGGACAATAGGAGGGACCCCTAGAAGGCCAATCTAACTCTTATATACCCCTTTTTAATAGGGTCCCTCATCCTAAACCCTAAACCCTAAACCCTATACCCCCTCCTTTAGTCCCTTGATAAAACCCTAGGCCTTGTTGTCTACGAAGGTGCCTTCGTAACAGGCCCCGTCCGGCCACGTCTGGTCGCAACGGCGTTGTTCTGCTTTTTAGGGTTTAGGGGCTAGGGTTTAGGGTTTAGGGGTTGGGGTGCAGGGGTTTGGGGTTTAGGGGTTTAGGGTTTAGGGTTCCCGAGTAGCTCCTTAATATTACGGGTACCTTTCCTACTATTTGGTTTCAATAAGGGAACCCAAAAAGAAAAAGGGCACAAGGGTATGATGGCATTACCACGCTTTGTGCTGACCTTACTGCCAAGTATGGGTTGTTTTCAAGGCTTTTCAAGATCCAGGTCTCTTGGGGGTGGTTCTCCGCAGGTTTCGTGATTTAGGGTTTAGGGCTTCGGGTTTAGGGCCCTTTGCTTCTGTCCGTTATTGCCCGGCACCGTGGTACAGTCGATGTCACAGGTGGAATGCGACATGCCAAGAGCTTGGGCTTCTGGCAGATAGGAGGAGTCTGAGTCTCCCAGCAGTGCTCTTCTCCGCTACATGTAACGGTTTAGGGTTTTAGGGCTTAGGGTCTACGGTTTAGGGGCCTAAGTATTATTTCCCGACACCTGCATACCCTTTGAAAGTAAGGTAAGAACCAAGCCCTTTGCATCTGTCCCTCCGTCATGGGAGGAACGGTGTCTTTCCCGAGCAGATCAAGACTAAATTCGGGTGCATTCGGTACTTCGTCTTGACAAGATTCCAAAGGCTCGCGAGGCAAATGGATAGAGCGGGAGAAAGCTTGTGGCCTTAGAGTTGGATGAGGCTTCTGAAGGTCCCGAAAGACGTTCATGCCGGTTGGGGGATGAAATCAGAGAATAAGGGATCAGGATGCTTCTGTTAGGGTTATGACTTTTCATATTCTAGAGGCCTTAGTTGAAAGTTAGTAAGAATCGTGGTTTTGGATTTAGTGTAGTGCCGTTTAGGGTTTACAGTTTGAGGGTGGCATCAGACTAGTGTTGTTGGTTATATTGCAGGTACAGAATTGGCAATGATACCGTCTCTATATTGAATTCCTATTTCTGCAAACCCTTGCGGAACCCAATATAGGAACCCTTGAACAGGATCCCTTAAGCCCTAAACCCTCTACCCTAAACCCTAAACCCTACATCCTAAACCCTAAAACCTACATCCTAAACCCTAAATCCGAAACCCTAAACCCTAAACCCCAAACCCTGAGACCACGGAGTAGGGTCTCGGGGATTTGGGCTAGCGACACCCAGAGCCGCAACATGTTCAAACCTCAAAACTTCAAGGCTTTAGGGTTTAGGGGTTTGGGGTTTAGGGTTTAGGGGTTTAGGGGTTTAGGGTTTATGGGGTTTAGGGGTTTAGGGTTTCAGGGCTTCGGGTTGCATAACCCAGCCGCCTCCTTGGACGTCAGACCGGAAACCCGAAACACTTATACACCCCAAACCCCAAACCCCTGAACCCCTAAACTGCAAATAGGGTTTAGGGAATAGGGTTTATAGGGTTTAGCGAATCCCCAACCCCTTATAAATCGCTACAGAGCCCTTCAAAAATCCCCTTCTGTAACCAACACGAGCCCCCTAACCAGTCCAATTCAAAGGCAGCGGGCTACGGCCTGCTTGCCGTAGCCTTGGTGGGCGCTCTCAGGGTTTTGGGTTTAGGGTTTGGCTGGATGGTATGCAACAGGGCTGCTATGCGTATCGTGAGGCTACTTAACTCGGATGTTCCGGTGATTCTGCGGAAGCGGACCACAACAAGGAACCTCCCAAAATTATTGGTAATTATTTAGGCCCCTGTACTACCAGAAAACCCTCAACCCGAGCTCTAGACTTTAATGTCCCGGAACCCCGACACCCAAAATACTTAAACTCCACCTTAATAAAATTAATCCCAAAGAACCCACTTTGTTAAGGAAGTATAGAGGAAATTCTGAACAGGATCCCTAAAACAAGTAGGTCAGGTTGTTTCGGGCTCTTGTACGGCGGAATTCCAGTCTTCGCCCGGCAACCATCGCGGGAGCTGCCCTTCCACTGGCCGACGTAGACGGCGCCATTCGACAATGTCTCCTTCTGTAAAACCCCATGTGGTCCCCTGTTCACGGGTGCTACGGCGTGTAGAGGGTTATGGGCTTCAATGGGCTTGAGGTTCGGGCTCGGTGCTCGTAGGGTCCACGGTTTCAGAATCGTTCGGGATTCAGGATCGTGTCTGAGCCCGCAAATATACAAGTAGAGCTAGAAGGTAGCTTGGCTTGATCCATGAGGACGACGTCTATACGTACATATACAAATATAGAATAAGTATGCAGATAAAACGATAAATACATATATATATATATATATATGTACGTATTCTAAATAGTTAAGTGAATTTTAATACATAACATATCTATATGTGTACACATGCATACATGTGTGTGAATGTGTGTTCGTGTGGTTATATTTGTGTGAATTACTATAAGATATTATCCATCGTCCTTTTCGTGTGAACCAAAGATCCAGAGTGGCTAGGGGTGCAGGGTTTTTTCGTGCTTAGGATTTAGGGGTTTAGGGTCCCAAGCCCCTCAAGCCCCTAGCCCCTAAACCCAAACACCCGATATCCTTACACCCTACATCCCTCAACCCCAAAGCCAAAAACCCTTAAGCCCCAAGCGTCTTTGAAAAAGCCCACAAAAGGCCTCAAACCCTATGACAACACTATACAACCCAATACGACCCCTTAAGAAACGCTAGCCTCTAGATTATCCTGAGCCATGGCCACCTAAACCCTAAAATTCCCCCTATCAGCTCCTTCTACTTCTCCCTGACCCCTAAACCCTACACCCCTAAACCCTGAAATACGCAAACCCCAAAAGCCTTAAACTCTAAAATCCAAAGGGCTAAAAATCCCAGGTCCTCGCGGGTAGACCGGCCCTCTAAGCTTTGCGTCATCGGTATGACCTGCTTCCGGGCTTTAGCTTAGAGTTTAGGGTTTAGGGCTTGGGAACTAGTGATACCGTTGATGATATAAATCCTACATTATCCATAATCAGGAATATTCCTTAATTCCCATAGTTTTAGTGCCTTAAGGTACTGCAGGATTTATACCATCTACAGTAGCTAGATCTTTTGATGGGGAATCCTTAAGGGTTCCTCTACGGTCCAAAGAGAGCGCTGTGCAAGGGCTTGATAGTTCCGGGTGTTCAGCGGGTTTAGGGTTTCGGGTTTGGGGTTTAGGGTTTAGGGTTTGGGGTTTAGGGTTTAGGGTTTGGGGTTTGGGGTTTAAAGTTTAGGGTTTAGGGTTTGGGGCTTTGGGGCTTAGGGCTTGGGGTT